AAAAAAAAAAAAAAAAAGTTGCAGGGTCAACTATGGACAGCAGCTGGGTGGCCTACCCCCAGGTAAGGCTAATTTCTCCCTTTTCTCTACCAGTTCAGAATCTATAATGTGACCTACATGGAAACTGTCCTCCGCATCACAGCTAGCACCCTAAAACATGGGGTTTCCTACACAGCGCGGGTAAGGGCCTGGGCTGAGAGCTATAACAGCAACTGGAGTGAGTGGAGCCCCGGCATCAGGTGGCTTAACTGTGAGTACCCTGAACAGTCAGAATTGCTGCTTCCCATTTTTACCCTGTGGCCAAGACACTTTCCCCTGACTGAGTTTCTGGGTTTTCATGTCACGGTGCCTCTAACTGCAGGTGGCAGTTACTGAGTGATGGGATGTGTTGGTCAGGGTGGGTAGCTAAGCTGTAGTATCAGATAGTTCCACAATTTCCATGGCTTAATGCTACAAGGAATATATTTCTTACTTGTATAATAGTCCAGTGTAAATATTACCAGTTCGTAGGTGGTTTTCTTCCCCATGGAAATTTAGAGAGTGGAGCTCAGTCCATCTTATGGTCCCATTGTTCTCTAGGACAAAAGCTTAACTGTTTTTGTGTCCTCAGCCCCATCAGCAGTCTGGTGAAGCCTATGGACCTCATCTCAAAATAATATTTTTAAATATATAAAATAAAATGTATAGGATTACAAAGGAAACATGTTGTAATGTAGTTATAAAAATATTTTCAAAACTTTTGTAATCTAGGAATATATGTGCTTCCTTACTAACAAATAACAAGATCTAGCGATAGAGCTCATAAATACTATGATTTCAAAGTAGATGTACTTAAATAATATTTCATGATACTGCAACTGTCATGTGATATGAGAATAGCTGTGATCTCTGTTGGGAACAGGATCGCTGATGTTGCTCAGAACCACTAGTGTGGTTTGCTCCCTCTGTTCCCAATGGAAGGAGATGTTAGGTGTCAGAGGGAACAATCAATATGTCACTTCTTTCCCTTCTAAGTTCCCAGACCCCTGGATTCTATCTGTAGCCATATTGGAGGTCTGTGGACCCCAAGTTAAGGATCCCTGCTCCAGGGCCCTGCTGTAGTTTGCATGCAGCCAGCAGGAGGGCAATGGGAACAGGGAGACTGCACCTGCTTCTTAAAGGCAGGAAGCTCAGAGTAACTGACATCACTTCCTCTCAAATTCTGTTGGTGAAAATGAACTACAAGGGAGGCTGGGAAATGTACAGACCTCTGCTTCCAGAAGGAGAGAGTAGGAAGTTCTTGATGTGTACTGAGCTTTAGAGGAGTGGGGGAGAGTAAAGAGACCAGTGTGGAATGACTCAGTGTGTGAGAGGGATCATGGGGGAGGTGACACGAGTCTCAGGGAGGGATAAGACCCTGGGTCCCCAGCTCTGGGACATGGCCCCAGTTCATGTCATCTGCTCACTCTTCCAGCCTACAAGGAGCCCTTTGAGAAGCGCCTCCCACTTGGTGTCAGCATCTCTTGTGTCGTCATCCTGGCCATCAGCCTGTCGTGCTACTTCAGCATTATCAAGTGAGTCCTAAGGCCGCTGAGCCAGCCCTCTGGGGTGCAGGATGGGAGGGAGGTCTCCTCTGCTTTGTCCACTGGCAGTCCTTTCAGTCAGTGATAGGTATTTATTGAGCAGCTACTATGCGTCAAGCCTTGAGAGTAGAGCCACAAACAAGACTGACAAGGACCCTATGTTCCTAAAACCACATCTCTGTGGGGAGGGAGAAAATGCTGCCTCAACAGATGGTTTTCCATAGTGACCCTGCCCCAAAGGGCATAGACCAGGGCGGAGGGCAGCGGAGATATTCAGGGTACTCTTTGAGGTCCCTGGGCAGAGAGGTCCAGGGAGGCCTCTTAGAGACAGGAGAGTTTGAGCTGGGACTAACTGGGGAGAGTGAGCTGGCCGGGGAGGAGTTGGCTCAAAGGAGAGGGAGTCATCCCATGTCCCCTTGTCACCCCAGGTGCCTAGGGTGCAGTTCAGACACTTGTGGGCAAGTGGCAAGAGCCAGAGGAGTCCAAGACAGTTGCCCTGATGGAATCTGGAGGCCTGGGTTTGAATCCTGGCCTTGGTGCTTGGTAGTGGTCACTGACAAGTTGCTAGAAGCCCTGAGCCTGGGGCTTCTCTTTTGCTGCTTGGAAGTGACTGAAAACACACCTCATCAGCCATAGAGGCCGAGCCACTGTAAAGGACTGGGGGCAGAAGGAGCCTTGTTTCCTTTGAGTTCTAGCCAGGCTTTGAAACCATGGTGTCTCAGAACCTCGGCCTTCTCCCCTCTGAAATGGGACTAGAAAGCCCTGCCTCACTGAGCGGGATTACAGGTGGCTGAGGATGAACGTGGTGCAGGTTCCCCTCCACATCTTGTCACCAATGCCTTGGGTTGATCCTGGGCTGGTTTCCGCTTCCCAGAGGCCAGTTTTCCCATCCCCTGTCCTTCTTCTTATCCCCACTCACCCCATCCCCATACACCGACCTCCTTGCTGTTCTTTGAAGGCACCAGGCACACTCTTCCCTTAGGCTTTGCACTTGAAGGCACAGGCCCCAGACAGCAGCGGGCTTGCTGCTCCTGCTGCTCTGCCCCCTGCTGCCTGGTTCAGGTATTACACACCCCCGTCACAGAGGCCTTCCCTGATCACACTCCCATCCCGCTCCTCCATCCTTCTCCAACCCTTCATCTTTATTCATGGCACTATTGCCATGAGTGATGTCATGTAGTCCTTTCTGTATGTGTTGGTTACCCGTCCGCCGCCTATAAAGGGGTGGCTCCCCAAAGGCAGGGATCTTTGTCTTGTTCACTACTGTGGCCCTAATAAGTGGAACACAGTAGGTGTTCAACACGTGGCACAGTGAGTGGAACACAGTAGGTGCTCAATAAATATGTGTTGACTGCAAAAGTGGGCGGAGGCTAACCCAAAAGCCATCTGGGACTTTCCTGCCCAGTGATGGCATGCTGTGGCTTTGGTAGATGCAGAGAGACAGGAGGAGTCTGTCTCTATGGGTCCCCAGAGTCTCAGGCCACCCTAGTCCTCTCCTTGGGAGTTTGTCCTCAGCAGCTCCAGAGAGAATTGTTGAGGGGAAACTCAGAACACTCTGTCTACAGTTTGTGTCTCTGCTCATCTCCTGGGGCCTCATTCCCACAGGGGACAGAGGTGGCCTCATCAGGAACTCCATCTTGGTAGCAAAATGCTGGAGTACAAACCTGACTCTGCCACTTGCCAGCTCCCATTTCACCTCTTTAAGCCTCAGTCTTCTCATCTGTAGAATAGGGTTAGCAGTGGAATCCATTTCACCGGGTGAGGGTGAGAAGCCAGTGGTTTGGCATCCAAACATCAGCCTGGTCTCTGAGGCCTAATGAGCACCAATGACTATGACAGTTTCTATGGGAAAAGCATTAACTTTTGCCTGTTGTTTTCAGGATTAAGAAAGAATGGTGGGACCAGATTCCCAACCCAGCACACAGCACTCTTAAGGCTATTGTCATCCAGGACTCTCAGGTAGGAGGGCATGGGATGGGACACCTTGCACTGCACACATTGGGAACATGGTTCAGAACATCAGGGGTGTCAGGGGTGTTCATTGGCTTTTGGAACAGCAAATTGTCAGTTAGGAAGGCCCAGGGTAGGCTGATGCAGCAGCTTAATCCATCGTTAGGACCCTGGAGCCCTCTCCCTTCAACCCTCCCATGGCTACTCTTTCAGGCTGGAGTGGGGTCCTCTGGGATAGGTCTCTGGGTTTCTTCCCTCCCTCCTGGGGAGGTGAATGTCCTTTCCCAGGGAGGTGCCTGTACCAGGAGAAGGAGCAGATTTTCTGTGTCTTCTTCTTAAGAGCAGGAAACTGACCAGGCACGTGACTCATGCCTGTAATTCCAACACTTGGGGAAGTTGAGGAGGGAAGATTGCTTGAGGCCAGGAGTTCAAGACCAGCTTGAGCAATACAGTGAGATTCTGTCTCTATAAAAATTAGCGGCATATAATGCTGCACACCTGCAGTCCCAATTACTCAGGAGGCTGAAGCAGGAGGGTCTCTTGAGCCCAGGAGTTCAAGGCTGCAGTGAGCTATGATGGCACCATTGCACTCTAGCCTGGGAAACAGAGGGTCTCTAAAAAGAAAAGAGAGAGAGCAGGAAACTGTCCCTGAAGCAGCAGCAAATGCCCCTCAGTACTCACTGGCCTGAATTATGTCCCAAGCTCTTTCCTAATCTAGACACCAGCAAGGGAGTGGGGATACCTTACTACCAGCCAAGAAGCTCCCCTGAGCAAGGCTGTGTGGGTGACTGGTGGGGTTGTCCTGAGCAGTGTCAGAATTCTCTAAGGAGGAACACCAGGGCTGCAGGCCTTGTCTGGAAAAGCAGGTCTGAGGGTCCTTGCTTCTCAAGGACCCTCTGGCAGACTCTGGAATCCAGGGTACTGGCTTTGAATCCTGGCTGACACCTACCTGATGTGTAGACTTGAAAAAATTGCTTAACTTCTCTGAAGCTTAACTTCCTCATGTGGGCTGTAACAGCGTTTGCCTGTAAGGGCTGACGTTGAATTCTCTGAGACAATGTATATAAAGTGTGTGTGACAGAGCCTTGCATATACTAAGTGCCATTTAGGTATCAGTTAGCATTCACTATATCACAAGTCATCCCCAATGTAAAAACTTCAAACAACCATTTAGCTGACAATTCTGAAAGCAGGCAGTTTGTGCCGGGCCTGGCAGCGTGAGTGCAGGGGAGTCTGGGCTGGTGGGACAGTCAGGAATATGATGGCCTGTCCCAGCGGCCTCTCTTGTGTCTGGCAGTTGCTTGACACTCACCACACACCTCTTGTTCCCCAATCTACTAGTCCAGGCTTGTCCACAGAGTGCCTAGAACTAGCATGATGTCATTTCTACCACTCTCTATTGGTCAAAGCAAGTCCTATGGCCAGGTTAGATCCAGGGGGTAGGAGCAGCTGCAGAGCACGGTGGCTGTTGCTGCCACTGACCACAGTGACTGTTAATACGTACTAGGACAGTATTCTAAATTCTGGACACTGAGGCTCAGAGGGCATAAGTAACCTATTTGGATCACAGACCTGTGTGACATCAACAAGGCTGCTTGTGCCCTTTCCTGGCAAGTGTTTACTGAGCCTTGCCACGTGCCTGACTAGGCTGGAAGGCTGCTGCACCCCATTTCATTGGCTGTCTCTGTGTTTTAGGTGTTGCTGTGGGAGAGGCAGTCCCGTGGCCAGGAACCAGCCAAGTGCCCGTATGTATCTGAACTTAGGTCATAGCCTGTGTGATAGAACTGGGGACACCTCCCCCCACCCCACCCACATCTACCTTTTCTTCCCTGGCATTTGGCAGTTGTCCCATGACACTTAGGCTTCAAGGGGTGGCGGGGGTGGGGGTGGGGGTGTGGGAAGGTGGGCTGTTGGCAATGCCCCTGAGTGCCACTAGTGGGTCAGGCACATGCTGAGCTCCCTTGGGAGTGCCCAGCCTGGCCTGAGCAAGGCTGATACAGTTAGCAACCAGGGCAGCTGTGCCAGCTATTAAAATATTGACCTAATTATATACTCATTGGCAAGCAGCCATGTCCTGAACCCTCCAGTGTGCCTACGCCACTCTGCCTCCTGAGTGCCTCCCTTGGGGCCTCCTGCATTACCCACGATCCAGTAATCAAAGGATTTCCACTTGGCACAGCAGAGGGTTCTGGAACCCTGCTTCAGCCCAACACCCCACATCCATTCTAACTGGTCGTGGCTTATGGTGTGGTGTTGTTTTTAAATATCATTGTCTCTGATAAAGATGTTTCCTTATTTAATAAATTGAGTTTGAACTTGGTGCCAGGCCATGTGCTGGGGGCTCCAGAAATCCCAAAGTAAAACAGTAAGACCCTGCCCGGAAGGAGTTCCCAGTCTAACAATGACGATAGACTGGTAGATTTTTAATTAAAAAGTCAGGAGGCATGTCTACAATAGATAGACATTGGTACGGGGTCATTTCAAGCTGGTCTTTGAAAGATGAATAGGAGCTTTTCAAGTGTCAAAAGTGAACCCTGACCAAACTTTTGTTCACTTTTGCAGACACTGGAAGACTTGTCTTACCAAGCTCCTGCCGTGTTTGCTAGAACATGGCATGAAAAAGAAGGAGGATTTCCCCAAGGCTGCCAGAAATGGGCCTTCCCAGGGCCCTGAAAAATCAGCCTGGCTCCCGGTGGAGTACAGCAAGACAGTCTTCTGGCCAGAGAGCATCTGTGTGGTGGGGTGTGTGGAATTGTTTGAGGCCTCAGTGGAGAATGAAGAGGAGGAAGTGGAGGAAGACAGAGGGAGCTTCTGCACATCTCCAGAGAGCAGTGGGGACAGCTTCCAGGATGGCAGGCTGGGCATCATGGCCCGGATGACAGAGGACCTGCTCCTAGACCTGCTCGGGGGTGAGCAAGGGAGCTTCAGCCAGCAGGGCTTGGAGGAGTCATGCCTTCCTCCACCTTTGGGAAACGTGAATGCGGAGTTCCCCAGTGCAGAGATCAAGGAGACATCTTCCCAGGGCAAGGGGCAGCCTTTCAGCCTGGAGCCAAACCCTCCGGCCAGCCTGGCCCAGGGCCCAGGCTGCCTGGCCGCCACAGAGATGCCTGTTGTCATTGCAGACAACCCTGCTTACCGCAGCTTTAGCCGCTCCCTGAGCCAATCCCTAAGTCCTAGAGAGCTTGATGCAGACCCACAACTGGCTGAGTGCCTGGAGGAAGGGGACCCCAGGATTCCCTGTACCCCTCAGCCTTCAGAGCAGCCCCCACAGCTCCCGCCTGAGCTAGATTCCTGGGAGCAGATACTTCGCCAGAGTGTCCTTCAGCATGGGGCGACCACAGCACCCACCTCAGCCCTCAGCAGTGGCTATCGGGAGTTCATACAGGTGGCGAAGCAGGGCAGCTCCCAGGACAGCCAGGTGGTGGTCTTGGGCCCCTCAGGAGAGGCTGGGTACAAGGCCTTCTCAAGTCTGCTCACCAGCAGTGCTATGTCCCCAGAGACATCTGGACCTGGGGCCAGCAGTGGGCAGGGGGGCTACAAGCCCTTCCAGAACCTCCTTCCTGGCTGTTCTGGGGACCCTGCCCCAACCCCCATCCCCTTGTTCACCTTTGGACTGGACATGGAGGCACCTGACAGCCCACAGAGCTCACTGCTCCCCAGCAGCTCCCCAGAGCACCTTGGTCTGGAGCCAGGGCCAAAGGGGGAGGACAGGCAGAAACCCCTGCTCCCCCTGGTGCAGGCCACAGACCCCATCAGTGATGACCTGGGCAGTGGCATTGTCTACTCAGCCCTCACCTGCCACCTGTGTGGCCACTTGAAGCAGTGTCACAGCCAGGAGGAGAGCAGCCAGGCCCCTGTGGTGGCCAGCCCCTGCTGCGGCTGCTGTTGTGGAGACCGGTCCTCACCCCCTCAGAGTCCCCAGAAGGCTCCAGACCTCTCTCCAGGTGGGGTTCCCCTGGAGGCCAGCCTCTCTCTGGCCTCCCTGGCACCCTTGGGCATCTCAGAGGAGAATAAGTTCTCACTGTCCTTCCAGCCTCCCCCCAGCAATGCTCAAGGCTCAAGCCAGACCCCCAAGATTATGAACCTGGTCTCCACAGAACCCACCTGCATGAGGGTTTCCTAGGTGTGTGCCCTCTCATTGCTGGGGTGTACAGGTGAGGACCGGGGCTTCTCCAGGCCTGGGAAATGCCTTCTGGAAAGCAGCCAGGCTCCCAGGTTTCCAAAAGACTTGAAGAACCTCGGTATGAAGGTGTGGCAGCCTAACACTGAGGCGATAAGGATGGGACCCTGCCCCCGAACATTGACCTGGCCCTGCCACATCTTATGGGAGTAGAGGTTACTGGGCAACTGTGCCCCGTGGCAGGCACCTACAGGGATCAGGAGGTCCCTGGGCAGCTCAACTTATGAATGAGTTGTTGGAGACTCCGTCCACAGTGTCTGCAGCAGACTGTCCCTGTCACATCTGCCCAAGGCATGTTTTGTCCACCAAATCACCATCCACGTCTCTTACCAGCCTCCATCTCACTGAACTGCAAGCTGACCCTAGAGACCACCTAGGGAATGACGTGGACGTCCTTGGGAAGTTGATGGGGAAATTAAAATCCAGGGATGATGGCCATGTGCCCAGAGGTGTCTGTACGTTCAACTCAGCCTTGGGTTGGTGCTGGAGGCAGAATCTGGGCTGTCCAGGGGTGTTGAGTCAAGTGGGGGCAACAGAGAACATGAAACATTTCAATGATCAAAACAGCAGCAATTTACCACTGTAAAGTTGGGGGCTTCTGTTGAGCTTGGGATGCCCAGCTACCTTGTGGCCTGTCTCAGTGGACAGCGTCATGGGCAGCCACAGAGAAACCATAAGGGAATGGTTCATGTCCTGTGGGACAGCCAGAGCCAGGTAATCCAGAAGGCAGCTGTCGGGTACCATTGTCTCTGCATGTTGGCCAGTAGGGTAATGGAAACGTGGAGACCTTGGGTTGGACAATACAGTTTGTGTCCTAAAGATTGTTTTAATACCGGTATCTCTGTTTGCTGAGGAGGGTGGAACAGAGGGAGTAGAGTTTTGTATAAAGGTTCTTTATTTCCACAATTTTTGTTTATTAAACAAACATATTGCCAGACACTGTGTTGAGTACTTTATTAACTTATCAAATCCTCCCGTCAAGTGGAATCAGGACATGAGATGTTGAGTAACTTTGCTGTCTCTGTTTGGGATCCCTGAGACAAGGATTCAGGTACAATTAGTTAGTTGGGGAAGGCATGGGACAATAAAGGGTGTGTTATCAAAAATATCTCCAGTGTGGGCACTGACAACCCTATGAAACACTGGAAGACTGCATGACGCATGCGCAGATCTGTCCCTGCAAAGGGGAGGGAGCTGGGGGAAGTTGCACACCAGCCCCCATCCAGCACTGGTTGAAGGAAGCTTCCAGAAGCATTCATTCTCCAGTGTTTCTAGCTGCTCCAGCAAAAAAGTCCCTGGACTGAGAGTTGGAAGTATTTGAGGAGATGAGCACATCACGGAGATAAGCACAGGATGCCCACAGTGGCTGCTACACTCTGCCAAGGTCACAGCTAGTGGCAGGCCCAGAACTGAAGCCAGATTGTGTCACCCTTTCCCAGGCTCTCGTGGGTGATCCGAGGTAGATAGAGTGTGAGTGAGCCTCAGATGGACAGGCAGGGGACCCTAAGCACCTCTGTCTATGATGACTCTGCATCTGAGTAGCTGCCCTGACCACTTACACTTGGGAGGCTTGGCTGTTCCTTCCTGCTCTGAGATCCTATGCTGTGCTCTTCCTTCCTGCTCTGAGATCCTATGCTGTGCTCTGGGAGTGGCAGGGAGCTCACTAGCTCACATGCAGCCTGATATTTGTTAGAAATACTACTTTGTGCCAAGCTTGAAATCTCTTTAGCTGCCAAATGTGGAAACTTGGCTCCAGAGAATAAAAGTGATTTGCACACAGAATAGAGGCCAGATTCATTGTTCTGTCCCCAAAATCTTATGAGACAGAAACTTGAGTTGTCCCCTGTGGCTCATCGTACTGGCTGGGCTTTGGGAAGCTGGAATGGAGAACTAGACAAGAGACACCTCCCACCTCCTACTGGGACTTAAATCCACTCGCCCAGGTGCAGGGAAGCTGCAGCAGGACTAACCACTTTTCCTGCTTCTCCAGCTTACTGTAGGGAAGGAGAGAGTGAAAAGACCATATATCCCATCAGTATTTACTGAGCACCTGCTGTATGCCAGACAGGCACTGTGCTAGGTGCTGAGGACACATGTGTGAGTGAGACAAGTGAGGGCCCTTCCCTCCCATCCATAGGGGAGACAGACATTAAACAGACAAAAGGAAAAGCCTTGAACACTGAAGAGTGCCAAGAAGAAGGCAAAGAGGGATCTGAGACGGGGGAGCTAAGGGTGCTCAGCGGCATCTATGAGGAGGTGATGTTTGAGCAGAGCTCTCAATGACTGGATGAAGCCAGGTTGAACTGGGAGAAGACCAACCTGGGCAGAGGGCAGAGCAAATGCAAAGGCCCCAAGGCAGAAGGAGTTTGTTGTGATCACAGTGCAGAAAGATCAGCTTCCAAGAAAGGAGCCAGGGACAGAGTTGGGAGGTAAGGTCGGGTCATGGCAAGGGCCATAGTGATTAATTTGTACTTTGGCTCAAATGCACATTCGCTCCACCCTGTGAGAACCCTGATCCAACATAAACCAGTTTTCATCGATCTCCCTGGTCCCAAAACATAACCCACTCATGAGTGGGAGTCAAGGATGGGAAGTGGAGCCACTTGGAAGTGTTCCTCCAGCAGGACTTACCCGCCTTGCAGAAGTGACAACAGCAGCTGGGATGATTAAAGTGCTCCTTGCTCTCACTCTGGAGCAAAGTGATCAGAACCAAGAGTGAGCTAATTCACTCCAGGGAATGCTTGGCTGCCAAGGAATTTTCATGAAATTTTCATAACCCAGGACTTTTAAAGAATCTCTTTAAAATCTGGTGCTTGGGCGGCACCCGTAGCTCAGTGGGTAGGGTGCCGACCACATACACTGGAGGCTGGCAGGTTCAAACTGGCCCAGGCCAAGTAAAACAACAATGACAACTGCAACAAAAAAATAGCTGGGCGTTTAATCCCAGCTAATTCAGAGACTGAGACAAGACAATCACTTCAGCCCAAGAGTTTGAGGTTGCTGTGAGCTATGACGCCACAGCACTCTACCCAGGGCCACGGCTTGAGACTTTGTCTCTAAATAAATAAATAAATAAAATCTGAGGCTGGGCCTCCATGCACTCGAGTCCAAATCACTCAAGAAATCCCAAGAGTCGTCGGAGCGTGAAGCCCCAGACATTTGTCTGGTTCTCTGTGTCCCTTTTCTCATATCCACGCCTTAGTTTTCTCGTTTGTGAGCTAGGAAAGAGCAAATCTGCATCATAGGCTTGTACCATTGCTGGTCTCTTTTAGCATCATCTTCATCCTCACCTGAGTTTCTCCCAACCTGGGTAAGAAAAGAATAAAAATGTACAAACAGCGTGGAAATCTAGACTGCTCAGCCCTGACCTCTGCACTGGGCTGCCTCAGTCTCTGCCTTGGTCTCTCATGCCTCCTGCTGCCTTTGGTTAATGTTTTTATTTTTTTCCCCCAATCTTTTTATGTTTTAATTATAAAATAGATAACCTACAGCTCACCATTTCAGGCATTGGATAGCATTTAGTACGTTCACACTCTTGCATCCCCCCCACTTCCCCTCAGAAATATTCTTATGCCACAAAATTGAAATTCTTTATCCATTAAACACTTAACTCCGTCTCTCTCCTTTCCTGGCAGCCATTCTACTTTCTGTCTCTGAAGCTGACAACTCTTAAGTACCTCAGATGAGTAGAATCCTACAGTATTTGTCCTTTTGTGACTACCTTACTTAATGTAGCATGATGTCTTCCAGGTTCATCCACGTGGTAGCACGCATCAGACTTTCCTTCCTTCCTAAGGCTGACTAATCCATTGTGTGCACATATATCACATACTTTTCCATTCATATGTTGACAGACACTCTGGTCGCTTCCACCTTTTGGCTCTTGTGCATAATTGCCACTGTGAGCACGGATATACAAATACCTGTTGAAGTCCCTGCTTTCAACTATGCTGGGTATATACCCAAACACCTAGGTCCTATGGTGATTCTATGTTTAATTATTTTTTGAGGCGGTAGGCACGTACTTTTGTACTTTGCTTTTTCCCCCCACTTAACATTGGCTCTTTAACAGTTTTCCACAGTACTTCATAACGTAGCCATTCTTCCTTAATCCGAGTGGCAACCTTCCATATAGGATGTTGCCCATTCAGCTTGGAATTGCCATTCACAAACACAGCAGCTCATGGTTGGTCAGTCTAGAGATGTTTATGGGGAATCGCAGAATCCGATAGTTCCTCAGACTGTTGCAGAGTCAGTCCTAGGAGAAGGAGGCTCCCTTGCCTTCCCCAGGTGTCATATTGTTTACTGGTTTATCATAAAGGATATTATAAAGAATACCGATGAAGAGGTGCATAGGCCTAGGTATGTGGGAAGGGGTGCAAAGCTCCCAAGCCCTCCCTGAGTGCACCTCCCTCCAGGAACCACCACGTGTTCTGCTAGCAAGATGTTCCCTTTGGTTAATCTTGACACACTGACATGGGAGCCCTCTAGCCTGGGCCCTGCCAGTCCCCTGCACTCTCTGGCTTTTATGCCTATCCCTTCTGGGCACCCCGGCAGTGGTCCTGGTGATTCTCTCCTGCATCCACTCTCCCTGAGAGGCCATTTTTAAGGCAAATTAAAACAAATAAAAAAACCCTCACATGATGAGTATGTATCAAAGTTTTGTTCTGAATATGTAGGAAGGAAATCGGAAGAAAAAAGAAAGAACATTGGCTCAAAGAACAATCTTAGGAAGGGATTTTATAGTTAGTCAAAATCCCTTGTGATCACAATACAGAAAGATCAACTGCAGTGAAGTGAGGTGAATAGCTGAATAGTTCCGTTCAGGCAAGTGTTTCATGTTGTTCAATAAGGTATCCACCAGCACTTGAATTGCGGCTAGTGCCAACCCAGGAACTGAATTTTAAATTTCACTTGTTGTTAATTTATTAACATTTACACTTCATTTCCACATACCGTGATCAATTGCCTTGGGGCAGAGGGAAAGGAGAAGATCTGGAAAGATGGACAAAGAAAGGAGAAGAGGAACAGATTGCGCCAAAAGTTTGCCCCAAGAACCACAGAGGGGTGAAAGGGACCTCAGGGATCAGGTGGACACAACTCAGGCCTGACCGGCCCTGTGGGAAGTGAGGTTATGAGCAGGGTGAGATGCTGGTGGAGACAGTTTTCCAGCAGCCACAGCAGGGCTGAACCACAGGGTAGGAGGGTTGCCCCCTGGAGAGCAGCACTGGAGGAGGCTGAGTATGGCCTGGATTGTCTAGGGCCCCTGCAGCCCTCTAGGACCCTGTTTTTACAAAGATTGGAAGGGGGCAGGACAGCAAGTCTGCTTTAATTATTATTCTCTTTTTTTTTTTTTTAACAAAAAGCGGCTTACTGCATTTTTCCGATTACTAAATTGGCTCTTACAGACCTTCTCCTATTCAGAGAAAACTGAAAGGTACAAAGAGGAAAGTGAAAAACCACCGGAAATCCCATCCCCCGCCCAGCACCTGGCATCGTGTGGGCGGTCACCAAATGTTTTTGAAGAAGTAGTATCTCCATTAACTTCCGGTTGAATAACCTTTCTGACAATATTTTCCCACGAAAGTTCATTTAAAAACAAAAAATAACACCCCCCTACCCCTCACTCCCTGGCCAAAGGAGCCATGACCTCATGGGACTCCATGGCCAAAGGAGCCATGACCTCATGGGATCCTCACGGCAGCCAGCCAGACTTTGAGCCTGACTCCTGACCACCTTGTATAGACCGTTGGCCCTTATTCTTCTTGTCAATTTATAGCTCAGACAGTGAGACTCAGAAGAACAAGGGCTCTGACTCACACTGCCTCCTTAGATCCCACTTTTGCCAATTCAGAGCTGTGTGGCAGTGGGCAAGATGCCTGAGTGCTCTGGGCATCTGTTCCCTCCCCCACGAAGGACAATTAAGAAAA